ATGAGTATACGGTTTACATTTATAATTCTGATTCAATGCTTTGTCGTTTCTAAAGGAAACTAGCTAAAACCCTTAAGTATTCAAGCTTAAAGAGCTCAGAACACTGTGTGAATGTGGTTATTATTCTTATAATTTACAATAATAGACCGTGAAATTGTCTAAAAATGTATACGGAACACTTAAATTACAAGTAAATAGAGCCTAAATATCTAAAGGGCAGTGTAAATACACTGAAAACTCAAGTTTAAACAGCTGTGAAATAATGAGTATACTGTTTACATTTATAGTTCCAGTTCATTGTGTTGGCGTTTCTAAAAGAAAAATCGTTAACTGGATAGAGTATTCTTGGATTCAGTCCCTTGCTTTGCATCTTTATGTAAATTTCTGTCCATTCTTTTCTGTCCTGATGTCTTTCTGTTGAGAAATCATTTGTTAATCTATTGGGAGTTCCCTTGTATGTAACTTCCCATTTCTCTCTTGCAGCCTTTAAGATTCTCTCTTTGTCCTGAACATTTGCCATGGTAATTATGATGTGTCTTGGTGTGGGTCTTTTCAGGTTCACCTTGCTTGGGACTCTCTGTGCTTCTGTGACTTCTTTTCTTCCCCATATCTGGGCAGTTTTCAGACATTATTTCTTCAAATAGGTTTTCTAATCCTTGCTGCTCTTCTTGTCCTTTTGGCACCCCTATTATGCATATGTTACTTTGTTTCATGTTGTCCCAAAGCTCCCTTAGGCTCTCCTTCTGCTTTTTAATTTTTTTCTCCAGTTGCTGTTCAGATTGAGCTTGTTTCTCTACTTTATCTTCTAACTCACTAATTCGATCCTCTGCTTCTTCTAGTCTACTGTTGAAACCTTCCATGGTGTTTTTGATTGTAGCTATATCACTTTTAATTTCTTTCTTATTTTTGCATAGGTTGTTGATTTTCTCATCCATCCGGTGAATGAATTGTACAACTATTCCTCTGAATTCTTTTTCTGTCATGTTGCATGCTTCAATTTCATTAATTTCCTTTCTTGGTGAATCCTCATTTTCTTTCCTCTGGGGATTGTGTAGTCTCCCCATTCTGACTATCTCCAGATAGTTCAATCATCATGTTGCATGTTGCGTGGGCCTGGGCTGTGTTCAGTGGGAGCTTTCCACCACCCTAGAGTCACTGAAGAACTCTGACACTAAGATGTGTGGTTGTGGTGGGTTGGTGAAAACCAGACTCGCTCAGAGTCAGCGCTACCAGTGCTCAATGTGGCCTCATGTGCACACTTAGAATCAGGGACCCCGCCTGCACCGTGCTGGGACAGAGACCCCTCCTGGAGTGTGTTGAAAATCAGAGTCCCCTAGCATGTGCCAGGAGTCAGAGTTCCCCAAGAATCCAGTATCAGTGTCTCTGTTGTTTCACGTGGCCTTGCATTGAGAATCAGGGTCCCTGTGCACATGCACCAAGAATTGGAGTCACTGGCTCTTAGTGTGAATGCACAGGGAATCAGGGATCCCAGGCACAGGTGATAAGAAACACAGTCAGGTCTCTGGTTCCTGGTGCTGCCTCCCACCAGGAGAATCAGTGTCCTGGAGCCCCTGCTGAGGGAAACAAGCCCCAGTGTTTGTGCACTTCCAGGCCAAGACTTCTGCAGCCCGTTCTGCGGAAAACAAGCCCCCAGCATTCGTGCACTTCCAGGCTAAGACTCCTTCAGCCCGTGCTGTGGAGAACAAGCCCCCAGTGTTTTCGCACTTTCAGGCCAAGACTCCTGCAGCCTATGCTGCGGGGACCAAGTTCCCAGTGTTTGAGCACTTCCAGGGTAAGACTCTTGTAGCAGCACTGAGGCCTGGGCGAGGAGTGGGTCTATCAGTTACTATGGCACTGCCTGTAAGCCTGTGGGGAGGGGAATGGGCTCTGTTACTCACAGAGATCTTTTGCCAGGATGTCTGGATTCTTGGTGTCCCTGGGTCTGTAGCTGTGATCGCAGGTCTCTGTCCCCAGTGGCTGCAGGGTCCTGGTTTGTGTCTGAGACCAGACTGGGTGGTGCTGAGGCCAGGATGTTAGTCTCAAGCAGCTGTTTCTCAAGATGGCATGGTCTCTGTGCCAGCGCTGGCCGCCCAGGAGTGTCCGCGCTGGGAGCAGGGCTCCGCCATCTAAGACTGCCCGGTTTAGCAGCCCCTTAGAAGACCTGCAGAATCTAGCTGTCCCTAGCTCATACACATGCATACCACACACGTCCACACACTCCTCTATCACTCCCTCCTGCTCTCACACTCTCTCCCTCCCTACCTCCCTGCCAGTCACCATCTTCCTCAATCCCTTCCAGCACTCTTCAGCCTTTCCTGAATGTGGACCCAGATCTAGAATCCCCTGACCAGCAGTTCTGTGTACCTTCTTTCCACTGCGCCAATCCCTAGGGAAGCAGCTCAAGCCTGTGCCGTGTGGGTTCCCTCTGATCCTCAGGGCTCAATGTTCTGGCTGATTATCCTTCCCAGAGCTTTGACTTTACCTTTTGTCAGGAGTCCTCTGCCTTTCCCGGCTGCAAACTGTCTCCCAGCTGGATCTCCTCTGCCAATTTGGGCTAGATGTTACTCGTTTCAGCTGCTCACCCTATCTGCTCCAGGACAAGGCATGGGACGCGTCCGTCCGTCTATACCGCTGCCATTTTTCCTCCTCCCAATACCATTTAGAGAGACTGTCTTTACTCCATTGTAAGCTCTTATCTATTTTCTCAATTATTAATTGAGCATAATGGTTTGGGTCTATTTCTGGATTCTCTGTTTTATTCCATTGATCTACATGACTGTTTCCTGTGTCAGTACCAGGCTGTTTTGAGTATAGTGGCTTTGTAGTATAACTTAATATCTTGTATTTTGATCCCTCCAAGCTTGTTCTTCTTTCTCAAGATTTCTTCAGCTATACAGTGTCTTTTTTTATTCCATATAAAAATTTTGGAGAGTTTATTCTAGGTCTATGAAATATCCCATTGGTATTTCAATAGAGATTGCATTGAATCTATGGATTTGGTGGGGGGGGGAGGTTAGTATGGACATTTTTATGATGACAATTCTACCATCCAAGAACATGGTATATTCTCCCATTTTTTTATATTTTCCTCTACCTCTTTTTTCAACATCTTGTAGTTTTCTGAGAATGATACAGGTCTTTTACTTCATTGGTTGAGTTTATACCTAAGCACTTAATTTTTTGTTGCAGTGGTAAATGGGATTGTTTGCTTAGTTTCTCTTTCAGGGAGTTCATTATTGGTATATAAAAATGCCATGGATTTCTAAGTATTAATTTTGCATCCTGCTACATTTCTGAATTCTTTTAGTAAATCTAGTATCTTTTTGGCGGAGTCTTTAGGTTTTTATATTTACAGTATAATGTCATCTGCGAATAATGAGAGTTTTACTTTCTCCTTTCCAATTTGGATGTCTTTTATTTCTGCTTCTTGTCTGATTGCTGTGGCTAGGACTTCCTGTACTGTGTTGAATAAGAGTGGTGAAAGTGGACATCCCTGCCTTGTTCCTGTTCTTAGGGATAATGTTTTAGTGTTTTCCCATTGATTATGATGTTCACTGTAGGGTTGTCATATATGGCCTTTATCACGTTGAGATATGCTCCATCTATTCCCACTTTGCTGAGAGTTTTATCAAAAAAGTTGTTGAATTTTATAGAAGGATTTTTCTGCATCTATTGATATGATAATGTGATTTTTGTCTTTCTATTTATTTATGTGATGTATCATATTTATTGATTTGCAAATATTGTACCAGCCTTGCATCTCTGGAATGAATCCCATTTGGTCGTGGTGTATGATCTTTTTAATATATTGCTGGATCTGATTTTCTTATATTTTGTTGAGGATTTTAGCAAATATGTTCATTGGGGATATTGGCTTATAATTATCTTTCTTTGTAGTGTCTTTATCTGGTTTTGGACTTAGGATAATGCTAACCTCAAAGAAAGAGCTTGGAAGTATTCTTTCCTCTTGGATTTTTTGGAATAATTTGAGAAGTATAGGTGATAGTTTGGTAAAACTATCTTTGAATGTTTGGTAAAACTTCCCTGTGAAGCCATTCAGACCTGGGCTTTAGTTTGCTGGGAGTTTTTTTTATTTATGCTTTTATTTCATCAGTTGTTATTGGCCTACTCAGATTTTTTGATTCTTCCTGATTCCGTTTTGGGAGATTGTATTTTTCTAGAAATTTGTCCATTTCATCCACGTTGTCCAGCTTGTTGACATATAGTTGTTCAGAGTATTTTCTTACAATCCTTTGTATTTCTGTGGTGTCGGTGGTTACTTCTTCGGTTTCTGATTTATTTATTTGGGTTTTCTCTCTTTGTTTCTTGATGAGTCTGGCTAATAGTTCATCAATCTCATTTATCTTTTGAAGAACTGGCCCTTGGTTTCATTGATTTTTTATTCGTTTTTTTTAGTCTCTATGTTGTTTATTTCTGTGCTAATCTTTATTATTTCCTTCGTTCTACTTACTCTGCACTTTCTTGTTCTCTTTCTTGTTCTTTAAATTGTTGGGTTAACTGGTTTATTGTTACTTTTTCTTGTTTTTTTGAGGTAAGCCTGTAGTGCTCTGAACTTCATTCTGAAGATTGCTTTTGCTGTGTCCCAGAGATTTTGGGTTGTTGTGTGTTAATTTTCATTTGTTTCCAGGAAGATTTTTATTTCTTTCTTGACTTCATTGTTAACCCATTCATTGTTTAATAACATGCTATTTAGCCTCCATGTGTTTGAATGTTTTTTGGTGTTTTTAATGTAGTTGATTTGTAATTTCATTCCACTGTGATCTGAGAAGATGCTTGATATGATTTCAATCTTGAACTTGTGGAGACTTGTGTTTTGAGATGTGGTCTATCTTTTTGAGTGATTCATGTGCACTTGAGGAGAATTAATATTCTGCAGTTGTTTTTTTTTTGTTTTGTTTTGTTTTTTTTCAGGCTCGGAAACTCTTTATTCTTGTTGTAGCAGCTTATGACGCAGGTGCAGCCAAACACAAGCTTACACTGGACACAGACTTACAACGTGGACTTCGAGTTGCAAACATGGGACAAAAATCTACACGGAACTGATAGAAACCGCGCACAGACCAGGACGGGCCTGGGAACGCGTGTCAGTCCTGCCTCCTCGAGTGCTCTCCTCTGTACAGACCAGTCAGACGAAGATGCAGAGCTCTGTGGTTAGTTAAATTATACACTCTGTAGATACTATACCGACTTTAAAGTTACACATAGACCAGGAAATATCCATCAGTTCATTCCGATCGACAGACCCTCTGGCTGGGCCGCTGCAGACCAACCGGGCACGCGGAGGAAACCCGCCTGCGCCGCGCGGCTCACTGGTGGGCACACTGCACGCCGGGGCCGTGGTGGCTGCTGCTCTCCTCTTCGAAACTGTCGTTGTAGGCCTCGCGCCTCTGCCCGCCTCCCGAGCCCCGGGTGCTGTCGAATTCTTGAAGCTCCACCTCCTCTGTGTAACCGATGATGTTCGGGACTTCAGGTCGGGATGGCAGAAGGTCTTCTAGTTCGGAGAGCTTGTCGGGGCTGACCCAGTTGTTTTCAGGGAACTGCACGTCGAACTTGATGTACAGGTCGCCTTTCTCGAAGGGGTTCCGATACTGCGGCATTCCTTCCCCTCGAACCACCCGGACGCACCCCGGCTCGATGACTTTGCCCGGCGGGTACTTCGCCACGATCTGACGGGCATCGAGGTGCTTGAATGTGAACTGGAAGCCGCAGAGCGCCTCCACGAGGCCTATCTTGTACATCATGTGCAGGTCGTTGCCGTCCCGTTGGAACACCTCATGTTCCTTCTCTTGCAGCAAGAGAACGATGTCTCCCGGCTCCACTCCGGGCGCCTGGTCTGCCTCCCCCGCGAACGTGATCCTCTGGCCGTGCTTCATGCCCTTGTCCACGTGGACTTCGAGGATCTTGACTTCTTTAATCACCTTCTTCCCCTCGCACTTTTTACAGCGGTCCTTCTTGTTAATGACCTCTCCTTCTCTGTTGCAGTCGGAGCACACGGACTGCACCTGCTGCACCATCCCCGGGGCCAGCTGCCGGATCATGGTGCGGACGCCGTGACCCCGGCAGGCGCTGCACTTCTGAACAGCCCCTGACTTTCCACCTTGGCCATTGCACGCACTGCAGAGCACATTCTTGCTAAGCTGTAGTTTGGTGGTCTTGCCATTATACAGATCTTCTAAAGACACTTTGAGTGGATGCATCATATCTTCTCCTCTTCTTCTGCCGTTTCGACTTCTACTCTGATTGCCCATGAAGCCAAACAGGCCCCCACCGAAAATGTGCGAGAAGATGTCATCCATGCCGCCGCCGCCGCCACTGCCTTCCCGGAGACCCTGCTCTCCATAGCGGTCATATAGCTCGCGTTTCTCAGGATTTGATAGCACTTCATACGCAAAGCTTATTTCTTTGAATTTGTCTCCAGCATCTGGATTCTTATCAGGGTGGTATTCCTTGGCTAATTTTCTGTACGCCTTCTTCAGCTCGTTCTCGCTGGCGCCAGGCGGCACGCCCAGGATGTCATACAGCTTCGTGTCGACCACGCTCGCCATGGCGGCCGTCCGGGTGGCGCTCAGGCAGGAAGGCGGCGGAGCGGACAGAGCGGCGCAGGCCGAGGAGACAGCGAGCCAATATTCTGCAGTTTTAAGGTGAAATGTTTTATAAAGTTCAATGAAATCAATCAGGTCCAGTATGTTCTTTAGAGCCACTGTTTCCGTGTTAATTTTTTGTCTGGAAGATTTAACCAGTGTAGTTAGCAGGGTGTTAAAGTCCCCTATTATGACTATATTGCCGTTGATCTCTCCCTTAAAGTCCCCCAGAAGTCTTTTTATATATTTAGGTGTGTGAAAAGCCATGGCCCATGTTTATTTCAGGCTCAAAGGCTTGGAGAAAGGGCTGATGCACAAATTAATACACAAGACAAGAAATATAAATTTGGAAATTATTGGGGGAAGCCAGGAAAGCTTATATGTAGTAGCCAAGTTCCACTGAATCTCTGTTCCCATCTTCTTTTATTCACTTGAATACATAATTGCCTTTTAGGAATGCAAACAGACATATCAAAGATGATGGTTTAGTAAACAGTAAGATTACCAGGTTGGGGAAGTTTCGTTTAGGCCAGTGGTTCTCAACCTTCTGGCCCTTTAAATACAGTTCCTCATGTTGGGATCCAACCATAAAATTATTTTCGTTGCTACTTCATAACTGTAATGTTGCTACTGTTATGAATTGTAATGTAAATATCTGATATGCAGGATGGTCTTAGGCGACCCCTGTGAAAGGGTTGTTCAACCGCCAAAGGGGTCGTGACCCACAGGTTGAGAACCACTGCTTTAGGCCATTGAGTCAGCAGTAGGTAATAAAATGCAAATATTCACGCTGTGAATATCAAAGAGCCCAATTCAGCCTTCTGACTGAACTTCTCACATTTATATTAATTACTATTGATCTTGGTTCTCAGCATTTCCCCCTCTTTAATTTCTTAATAGATGTTGATATGCCGCTTGCAGAGCTCAGATTCTTTTAAGACTTTTATCCCACATTTGCAGACTAAAATTAAACAAATAAGAACAAGAATGAGACAGGTAATAGTGGTTATGCTATAAGGCAAAAGTAAAGGAGTAAATTCTTTCTTTAAATTACTGCCAGGCATCTAAGGAATTAGTTTGAAAGTTTGCCTGAAATAATTATACAATGGCTGCTGTAATTCCAAAATATCAAGGGTGGTGTTATTTTTACTTTAAGCACCAGCGAGGTGATTTTTCATTGAAGTTATCATTTTAAACTATATCATTTTACTGGTGCAAGTGCAGCAGCTGATTTCCATTAATTATTACTATACACAGACCCCTAGGAGCTTCAATCCACAAAAGAAAAAACTGTTCTTAAATTTGCTGCTGGTGGGTGCCATTCATAAGACTTTTTACATAATGGCTTAGTGGGGGGGTGGTCTTAGTAATGTTAAATTCTCTTTGCCTCTCCCAGAAACAAGCAGTGTTAGTAATTGTATTTAGGTTTTCCCTTCCCCCTCCTTTGGTGTGATGCTAGCCAGAAAAACCTCTCTTTAATTCTACACACAAAGGAGCAGTAGTTTGATACAAGGGAAGCTGGGGCGGGGGAGGGGGGGGGGGCGCGGGTGGACACCCGTGTAATTATACTTTTCCCATATATTTACTATACTAGGCAGGGGATCAGTCCATGTAAGGGGTTTTACCCCTAAGGACTTCCCCATCAGCCCTTGGAAATATTACCGCTCAGCTGGTGACTGCCAGCATGGCAAGAAAGACGTTTTCAGGCATTCTTGGGGTTTTGGTCCCTTCACAAATTCGTTCAGCTTTCTGGACCATCTTCTTTATCACTCCCCAAGTCATCTCTGGGCTGTTCATTATCTGCCATGTTCTTCTTCCACTCCTTATCTTCAATGTGTTGCCTGGGGCTGCTGTTTGTGTCTGGGGTAGCTGATTCTGAAGTATGGTAGCAACCATTTCAGGTGGAAACTGTAGTTTAATTCTAACCCTGTTGTTTGGCTTAACAATAGAAAAGTTACTTTGATTTTCTGAATTGTATAAATTATCCCATTCCATTGAATGCCTTATTGATTGTAACGTGACTATCCCATTGATTGTGATCTTATTGGTTATCGAAGCACATTCTTCTGTACCTGGGAACCAGGACAGCACAATTATCCCAAGACCCGAGGGTTCCAGATAATGTGTTTCAGTGACTCAGTGGTCCCAAGACCAGGACAGCACAATAACTCTAAATTGTCCTGACAACTCAGTGGTCGGGAGACCAGAGGGCTCTAGATAATGTGTTTCTATCAACTCAGTGATCCAGAGATCCAAAACTGTAATTTAGATAACATGCCTAAGTTTAACCCAAGTTACCCAAGGGCTCTAGATAATGTATTTCTGTCAATTCAGTGACCCCGAGAACCGAAACTGTAATTAACATGCTTAATTCTGCTTCTGTAATCTGCTTTTTTGCGAGCCAGGTGCCTCATTCCAAACCTTGAGATGTAATCAATACCTTTGTGACCTTTGCCTATATAAGTCTGGTTTTGCCACCATCTTATCGCTATGAGATTTGGGAATGGCCCCTCATAGTCCCAGATGGCAATAAATGTGACTCTTGAATTCGACTTCTTGAGGCGTCCTTCTGTGATTCGTGGGGTACGTTACAACAATTGTCTACAGCTGCATGGTGTGGCTCCAGGCCCAAGGTCCTCATTAATCTGGCTAATTCTTCTCTCAGATCCATGTTGCAGTTTAATATTTCTTGCAGGAATCCACACAGGTTTGGAGAAATTTTCTGGAAATATACAAGCATACTCTAGACCAAATGTTAGCAGTGGGTCGGGTCCCTTCCATAAACCAGTTTCAGAATATTTCCATTTAACTAGACCATTTTCCATTGTTTTATTCTGACACCAGTGTAACTCCATGGGTGTCTTGCCATCAGCATCACAAGTGAAAAAATTTAAGGTAATTAAGGCCTGGTGCAGCCTACTCACAGGTGATTTCTCCATCATAATCCTCCCTTTTAGATTCTCAAATTGGGATTATAGCCACTGATATTGGCACTCAATAATGGCCTGTCCCTGGGAATTACATGGTACAGTGGGGTCTTGACTTACAAGTGTCCTGACTAACTAGTTTTTTGAGATACCAGCTGTCTCTCGGCCGATTTTTTGCATTGAGTTGATAGAGTAATTTGAGTTAACGAGCTCCTTAATGAGCTCGGTCTCAGAACGAATTAAACTCGTAAGTCAAGGCCCCACTGTATTCCTATAATGTGCTGGTTTTCCACTTTTTACAAAATTGCTGGAAATGACCGCTGTGTAAGCAGGCCCATTATCCGTTTTAATACTTTTTGGAATTCCCATGATGGAAAAAGCAGCAAGGCAATGATTAATAACTTGTTTTGCCATTTCCCCTGTAGATGCAGTAGCCCATAGGACTTTTTTGAAAAGGTGTCTACAGAGACATCCAATGCCCCAAGGCGTCCAAAGAAAGTATAGCATGTCACATCCATTTACCAGATATGGTCCCTTAGCAAATCTCTAGGGTTGACTCCTGTGTTAGGCCCTTGAGGTAGATGTAACATGCAAGTGGGATATTCTCTGATAATCTGTTTTGCCTGCTGTTGACAGATTGAGAATTGTCTAGACAACATTTTGGCAGGCTGATGTAAAAGTTGATGAGATTCTGAGGCCTGTTTTAATAAAGCAACCAATTGATCAACATGTGTATTTCCTGTTGCCAATGGGCCAGGTAATAAACTGTGAGCCCTTATGTGAGTAGTATAAAAGGATATTGTCTCTGTTGCACAATCTGCTGAACTTGCTTAAATAGTAAAAATAAACTTTTGTCACTGATCCATTTTAAACGAGCAGTGTCAATTCTATTTAATAAACCTGCAGCATAAGAAGAGTCAGAAATAATATTAAGAGGATCTTGAAAATTCTGTAATGCAGCCTTAATAGCTTCCAACTCAATCCTTTGTACAGAAGTATGACTAGTTTAGATGACTCAGTCTAAATTCATTGTATGATAAGCAGCTTTTCCATTTGATGATCCATCAGTAAAAACAGTTAATGCTTCAGGAATAGGTTCCTGCCTAGTATTTTTTGGTATAATAATGGGAGTCTGATATAGAAATTGTAATAATTTGCCTTTTAGTAGGTGACAACTAAGTCCCCCTGAATATCCACTCAGTCCAATTTGCCAATTTAAATCAGTCTGAAATAAAATTTCTAATTGCTTCCCAGTGAGGGGAAGGTAAATGCATTGGGGTTCTTCTCCTTTAAGCTGTCTGCAGTGCTTTCTAAGTTGAAATATCAACTGAGCCATAAGTTCTATATATGTAAGTGCAGTTTTAGAGAATTGATGTCTTAGGTGGACCCATTCAATAATAGCAAGAGAGTTTTTATTTTGGAAGATGACTCCAGTGGGACTATTTGCAGTAGGATTAATTTGTCCCAATAAAGGCAATTCAGGCAGCACCAGTGCCACTTGGGCTAAGGAGATTGCCTGCTCAATTCTTTATAACTCCTTTCTAGCTTCATCTGTCAATACTCAGGGTTAGGAAAGATTAGAGTCACCTCTAAGTATATTAAATAAATTTGTCATTTATCCTATAGATATTTTTACATAAGGTCTTAACCAATTAATGTCCCCTAATAATTTTTTGAAAGTCACTTAAGGTTTTAAAGCAGTCTTTTCCTATTTCTACCTTTTGAAGCCTAATATATTGGTTTTCAATTATGGTACCTAGATATTTGAAAGGCATTTCTTTCTGTACTTTCTCTGGAGCAATTTTTAAGCCCCATTTAGAAAGTTCCTTTTCTAATTGAGAAAACATTGCTACAGTCTGTTCTTCCCGTGGACTTGCTAGGAGCAAGTCATCCATGTAATGAACAATATAGCACTGGGAATATTTATCCCTTAAAGGCTGAATAGCTTGAGCTACATATTTTTGACATAAAGTAGGGCTATTGGCTATTCCTTGAGGCAAAACTTTCTATTGACATCTTTTCATGGGCTCTATATTATTAATAGATGGCACTGAAAAAGCAAATCTTTGTTTATCTTGTGGTGCCAAGG